TTTTTATTTTTTATTTTTTATTTTTTTTTCTACATTAATTCACTATACACCATCACAACACACCAATGAATTTTCCATCCAAAATACACTGTGCATTGGTTCAATCAAGCATATCAACATACATGTTCTCAGCAAATAATTTTCCAATTCTTACATCCTGCATACCTTGCCCTTTGTCTTGCCATCCCTGATTCCCCATCCCCCACCCTCTGCCATGTCCCATCTTCCTCCTCCATTGTCCCTGGGATCCATGGTTGCCCTCCATGCCTTCCGCCCCCCACCATTCAATTGTTCTGCCAATGAACTTAATTAGTCTAAATATATCCAATAGCTAGCAGACATATCCTTACACATGTATCCAAATCTGATCCTAGGCATAAACCCCAGTGAGTAGAATGAACATACTATAAAGTAGTACCCAGCTGTGGCCATTCTTGACCTTGGTGTTTTTGAAGTGTCCAGGCAAGTTTGTTTTGTAGAATGTTTCTTATTTTGGGTTGGAACCTTCATTCCTTTAAAAAACAATTGTCAGGGGGTACATGTGCTCACCCAGAGAGAGAGTGAAGGAGAAGAAGAAAACATTCTCGGTGGGGAATGGTCACACTGCAATCCCTTCTCTTTCATTTCTCTCTTTTTTGGGGATTTTGGACATGCATACACACTGCCCAGCATGCCATTCAAGCCTCTAAGTCTGGGACTTGAACTGTGCAGCCATTTATGTAGGACCCAGCTCCCTTAACCAGAGGCTGGATGGGCCCTCTGGACCTTCATGGTTAGAAGTTCCTGCTATACCCCCTGTTTATAACATCCCCTGGAATCCTCACTGGTCCCAAATGACTGAGTATATCTGCATTTTGGAATTGAGGAAATGGAAGCCTATGGAAGACAGACTTGTCCATGGTCATATCCTCTGAAAGTAGCAGAGCTGAAATTCAAATCCAGGACTGACTCGAAACCTAGACTGCCTATGAGGCACTGGGAGTGATGACAGCAGTCAGACACTGACAGTAACTAAGTGCTCTTCAAGCCAGACACATGCTACGCGTTTTACTAAGCAATGCAGCCCCTATCCCAATCCAGGAAGGCAGCTGCCCTTTCTATCCCTGATTTAGAGGTGAGGACTGGAGGGGTTAAGCTGACTGCCCACTGTGACACATCACCTAACTGGGGGGACAGCTCTGGCCGGGTCAGTCTGTGTCCCAGGCCGTACGTGGTGCGTCTGTGTTTAAACTGACAGGATTTGACAGAAGCCAGGAGCACAGGGAAGCCACACAAGTAGGGGAGCTGGGAAGCAGGGAGCCAGGTGTTGCCAGCCTCCCAGGAAAAGCATAGCAGTATCTGTGCTTGTGTTCATTTCTTGAGTCTCCACTGGAGGAACACATACACCGCAGGCCAGGGTCTGCATGCAAGGGCTTCCTGGGGGAAGCGTTTCCATCTTCTGCCACCCAGATCTCCTGTTGGTGCTCAGTCCGCCTCTGTGGTCCATCACAGTGGATGTATGTTGTGGTGGTTTCCAGGTCAGGGACCCACGTGGTCACTCATCTCATGGCTGGCTCGCTCTGGGGTGACTGGACCTGGCTCCCATCTTTGCTCTCAGGTGGCGACCTCCAGGTGCCATTCAGGGCTGCGTGCCCCATTGGTGAGGCTGCTTTTCTTGCAGTGGAGTTGATTATGTGATGCTGAGAGTTAGTCTCCATCCACCCAACTTCCCATCCACCTCTCTGACAGCCCTGCCTTACACCCGGGGGCTGCCTCTCCTTATCACAGGCCTCTCCTTAAGGAGAGGGATAGGTGATTTGAGATTTGTGACACTCTTACAATTCTGGCAAAGAGCAGGGCAGATCCCCGAGAAGAATGGCTAGGGGCTGGATCCTCATTCAATCTTTCACTTCCTGGGGGCCTGGGGCCTGGGCATGCCTGTCACAGGCGCTGAGACTGCCTGCACATCAGAGCACAGCATTGCATTCAGCAGTGACCTCCTGCTGTCCCAGGGATCATCAGGGAAAGCTTTGCAAGCCTGTGGCTTGCTTAGCCAGGTCAGGTGCAGGGATCTTTGTAAGCACAGAGCAAATGAATATCCCAACCCAGGACAGGCAGAAAATGGCAGGAACGCCTGGGGAACCACCTCCCCCTTAAGGACCTGAGACATGTCCTGCCTCCGTCCTCACTGCCTGCCCACTCTTCTGCCGCGTTTGCTGGACTCTGGAGCAGGTTCTGCTCAATGGCCGAGTGAGTCTTATCACCCTGTGCTGGGCCAGTCTCCATTTTCCCCATCTCGACCCTGTGCAGGGAAGTGATGGCGTGCTGGCTGGGTCAGGTGTGATGAGGTGGGCTGTGGTCGTCTTTCTCTGCGGCAGACTCTGGACACTTGTCCCCAATGCACTGGCCACTCTTGGGAGAAACTTAGAAATCTTAGTCTTTCATTTCAGTGGAGCATTGCTCCATTTGCATGTGCACATTCATTAATTAAAGCCATTAATCCATCTAGCTGCCTTGGAAAGAGGGTTTTTCCCCCTCTCTGTAAGAGTCAACATTGTGTGTTGTTGCTGCCACCCTGCTCTCCCTCACCCCCACTGTCCACTCCCCTTCATCTCCCTATCCCCGCCACCGGTAGTTACAAGGAGGAGGGGAAGTGAGCTTCCAGACCGATGATTCGGCTCCTGCGTTTGCTGCTCAGTGTCAGAAAGTCTCCTTAGTGTCTCTGACCTTTAGTTATTGGGAAATGGCATGATGGCTGTACTGCTTTCCTGACCTCTTGAGGTCATGGGGGGTGGTCAGTGGGGTCCCCACAGGGTAGTCTGTCGTGAAGTGTGTAATAGCACTGCTATTGCGATCAGTGACATTTCCCTAGAACCTTACAGTTTATGGAGTACTTCCTGTGTGCCGTCTCATTAAATCCGGGCAGCCCACCTGGGAGGTGGGTAGCGTTAGAATCCATTCCATTTCACAGATGAGTAAACTGAGAAGTAAGGGTCACAGCCCATCTGAAGCCAAGGACCTTTGATGCTCATAGCTTCTGTTGTCCCCTTAGCCAGGGCCCCGCACGCCCACGGTGAGCGAGTCATTGCGGTGAGATAGGGAGAGGGGAGACCTTTCCCTTATTGGGAGGAGACTGAGAAGTTGAGGCTCAAGCATCTGCCTAAGTGCTATTACTAAGAGCTGACATTTCTAAATGCTCGTAATGTGCCTGGCCAAGTAGCACAATCTGCAGAGATTATCATTTAACAGTAAGAACAAACCTTTAGGAAGAGCAACAGGCTCGGAGAGGGCAAAGAACTGGCATAGGCTCTTAGGAAGACTTTTTAGGCAGTGGAGCTAGGATACCTACCCAGGCAGTCTGACCAAGGCCCCCGGCAGCCTGGCCAGCTCTCCCGGCAGCGAGGACGCTGTGCTGCTGCCCTTTTTGGGTAATGAAACAAATGCATTTTGATAGTAAAGCGAAAAGTGCTTTCCCAGTCAAAATGCCTGAGGAGCGTGGGAGGCTGTTCACGGGGAGCCGGGTGCTGAGCATGGCATCTTTCTGAGTGTGCCACTGGTCAGGGGACTTTCTGAGTGAGGGGGAAGGTGCCTTGTGCTGCTGGGAACTGGGCTCTGAGCGCCAGGTAGATGAAACCAGCACTTCATAGTTGGAGGCCGGTACTGTCTCAGGCTTGCAAAACTGTGGGAGATTGTGCTGTGATACGAACAATCTAGGGGAGGAATGCAGCGACCAGAGGGCTTCAGAGGTTGCCAAGTGGTTCCTGCAGGGGTGCAGGGGTGTAAGGGATTCTTTGCGGGCAGTACAAGACCCCTGACCTCTGCCCTTTGCTGTGGGACCAAGGATATCTTGCCAGCTGCTCCCAGAGTTGAGGACAGATTCTCCTTCAGCGTCTTTGATTCTAAGTCTGTGCTGAGCCCTATCTTACTGACCATTTGCTTGCTAAGTAGGGGCATCTGGAAGGGAAGGGGCTTCAGTGGGTGCCACACTGAGGCTGCCCCATCCCCGAAGGACAGGAGAAGCTCAGTGTCTGGGCCCACCAGACTGAGGACCAGGCCTTGCTTTAGGGTCATTGAGAGGGTCTCCCTGGAGCTGGTAAAACCTTAACACTATCCCAGCCCTTTCAGCCACGTCACGTAGCCAATCTTGATTATCAGGATAAGAATCTCTGATGAGGCTACATTTTTTTTCTGATCCCTGAGTAATGTGTGATGTCTTCTGATCACATGTTACTAGATGATAGCGTTGCACTTAGATAAATTGACAACAAAGTTAATCTGATGCAGCTTCCATGGTTCACATAATCACACTGTCTACAGGATGGGTTGGGCATCCAGGGAAAGCCATTCTCAGAATGAAGTTGTTGGGTATGTTTCTTTTTTGTTTGTTTTGCTCTCGGGCACCTGCACTTGCCGAAAAAGATAGAGGGAGAGAGAGAGTAAAAGAGAGAGGGAAAGTGAGAGATCACCTCCGGGGGGGGATGACCATGCTGCAGTACTCTCTCTATCATTCTCCTTTTGGGATTTTGAGCATGCACATGTGCCCAGCCTGTTTTTCAAGTCTTCGGGTTCAAGACTCGAACTGCACACTTGGGCATGTAGGGATTCTGCTGCCTTAACTACCATCCACTGGATGGCTCATATATGTCTCTTATTCCTCTCTACCTAGACTTATTGGAAAGAGATGAACGAAAAGGCTCTAGCAGGAAAAGAAAACATGATTGATGGGAGAGGCTTGGGGAGCATAAAGATCCAGCTATCAGTCTGAGCAGGCTGCTTATATGACTGCCAAAATATGAGAGTATCAAAATAGACTTCATGGGTTGGATGGCTTAATGTATATAAAATGCCCAACATGGTGTGTGGCTTGTAGTAGTTTCTCAATAAATGTCTGCTCATCTGGTATTTCTCATTTAGCATATGGCAAATATGTTCTTACTTTTTCAAATGAATGATACATCTCACTGCCAAATCCGTTCAAAGTGAGCATTGATACTAATGATCCTTTTCTTATATATTTCTAGGATCCTGTTATACCTAGGATTTAAGTGTTTTTAATATGGAAAAAAAACGCATACCCACACAGTACTCCAGATGGACTTGAGAATTGTCCTTCTCTGAACTAAAGCTGGAATGGTTGGGAATTTGGAGAATTAAGGTAAGGAATTTTCACTTCCTAAGTTTCATGGGATCAAAAATAGCTTCTGGAGTTGATGATCTCTTTCAAAAAACTTGGGTTCTTGAATTCTCAGCATGTCTTCTTGGGATGCTCTGAAGTGCGTGAGAGGTTGGCTTCATAACCTCACCGTGACCTGTTCTTATTATTTGACTCGCCTGGTGGTTGTGTCTAGAAAGCTCCCCTCCTGGCCTTTGCTGAGGAAGAAGCCGGTAGGAGTCTACTCCTCTTGTCCTTCTCCTGAAGATGTAGTGTTTCACTGTCTTCCAAAAACTGGAGAGGAGAGGAGAAGGTGGGACATCCAGAACTGGAAGACTCCTCCTCTCTTCCAGTTTCCTTCTCCCACCTTCTTGAATCAGATGTTCTAGCCACAGTAAGTCTGAGGCTGTAGGGGATAAAGACCAAGAAGTTGAAACCAGCTTTGGTTTACTCACTTGTACGTGGGGATCATGGGATTGTCTTAGTGCCCACCTCATATGACTGCTGTGCATATTAAATAAGATAGTGGCAATTAAAGGCTAAGCTCCAAGTGAAAGAGATTTTCTTTTAAAATTTATTAATTATACCATTTAGGGTCCCTTCCACATACTAGGCTATTTTGAAGTCTTTGGTGGCAGTTCCCTCTGCCTTTCCCCTATCACCAAGTCTGACTGGGAAATGACTTGTGAATCACCTTCCTGGTCACACCCAGCCCTCTCATGCAAAACAAGGTTGATTACTCCCTCCACAGGACTGCAGCATGCAACTGAAGACGTGCCTCCGTGGTTGAAAATTCTTTTACCCCCTTCCATACGCAGGCCTCCTCTCCTTGGTGAGCTTGTTTAGAACGAGAACTATGTTACATATCCCAACATCCAGCACACAGCTTGATCCACGGCTGGGTCTCACATTGTGGATGTTCAAGGACAAACAAATTAAAAATGGAAAGGGAGGGAGGAAGGAAAGAGTACAGAGAGAGATCGAAAGATGAAAGCTTTTAAAGATTCAGAAGGAACGAGGTTGGTTGCAATGATTTTTAAACAAGATGTTGGAAAGAAGCAATAACAGGATGAAAAGGAGACTGCTAACATGATTTCTATCGTGAGTTTAGAAACTATGCAAGATGGAAAGGTAGCTGAGAAAGCATGGACTGGTGGAAAGAGGGGCACAGAGGGGAGCAAAGAATTGTGCTGATGTTATGCTATTTATGGACTCTTTTGTATTGTGTCTGAACTTTTCCAAACTGCGCTTGCACTTCCGATCCCTGTGGCTCGCAGAGATGGGGAGCAGGTGCCTTGCCTTCAGTGGGTTTCGGGAGACAGGCACACGTATGAGGTACTCTCTCCTCACCTGGTTTATGGTGAGCACTGGGGACAAGCCTTTCTCCATGCTTCGGAAGATTCCTGGAGCAGACGCTGCCTCTTATGGTGAATAAGGCCTGCTAGGAGCTGAGCAGGTCTCCATCCCTGGGAGCCCAGCCCCCATGTGTGTTCACATCTCCCAGTCATCCTCGTTTCATGATCTCCTTTCCACTTCTGGTGTCCAAACTCCTCTGTCATGTGTACAGCTGACCGGCCTTCCCATGGGAGTACTTTGTGCCTTGTTTTGGCCATCAAGGACTCAGTCAGTCTTTGGGTTGTGTTGGGAGCCTGTGATTGGCTTTTGGAGTAGGGTGGACATAAATGTGCAGCTGCCTTTCCTGTTGGTCACCATTCTGGGTCCTACCTGGGGGCTGGAGCGAGCTCTTCCTGTGGTGGAGGCGGAGGTGGGAGCAGAGCAGATGGGACCCCAGTCACTGAGCAGGGGATCTTAAATCTGGAAGAACAATGCCATGATTGTGAAAGCAGGCAGTGTCACCTCTCTTCTGTGAACAAAGAAGAGGAATTTCCCCAAATTCAGCTGTTGGGAGTAGGAAGACAGAGGGAGTGCTGCTGAGATTCCCAGACCCACAGGCCTAAGCATGTCCCAGGCAGGGCTGGCCTATGATGGGGGCCCTGAGAAAGGCCCAAGCATTCGTACTTGGGCCTGCGGCTTTTCTTCCCTCTTCTCTCTGGGAGTCTGTCTGCTTGCTCCTTGCCTGGAAATGACATCACCTGGGCCACACACTGACCAGAGAATGTCACACCTTTCCCACATGGGCTGTCTGCACTGCTCCTGCCATGGAAGAGGGAAACTCAGAGCTCAGAAGACCCACCTGGGCTGTACCTTGAGCTGTGCTTCCTGCTACCCATATAGCTCTGGGCGAGCACCATTTTTTTTTTTCCAAGAGAGATTTTTGCTCTAGGGTATGTGTGCTTCCTGGAGAGACAAAGAGAACTAGATAGAAAGCAAGAAATCACCCTCACCCACCCCCCACCCCCCCATCCCAGGAGGATGGCCATACTGCAGTCCCTTCTCCTCCATTCTCCTCTCAGGATTTTGGACACACACACATACACACACATGCCCAGTGTGAGTTTTAAGTTGCTCGATCCAGGACTTGAACCGCAGTTGACTATGTGGGCATCTAGTGATGTAATCATTACACCATCTGCTGGCCCCTAGGTGAGCTCTTGATAGTTCTCCAAATGTCTTTCTTCTCAGTCACAGATGGGATCAGTTACCACTTGGGGTGGTCATGAGGATATGGCGCCTGGCCCAAGGAAATGGTCAGTGCATGGAGCCTCACTATTTGTTTCTCCTTCCAACTTCTTCCCAGAGCAGCTCCCGGCCTTCTCACCATGTTTTCTCTCACCTCTGTGCTCCCTTCACCCCTCAGACATGCAGACAGGATGGGCTTCTTTTGTGCTGGTTAGTATCTTGCCTTTTGAGCCTCACTTTGCTCTTTTGGATTCCCTCCTGACCTCACCTCCCCCTGACATCTCTTGATGTCACCCCTCTTGCTACTCCCACGCTGGCCTTCTCTGCCCTTTGCTGAGGCCATCCTGTCGGTGGTCGTGGACTAGCACTGGCCATCAGTCACAAGGCACATGTGTAGAGGTTGCTTCCTGTATTTGCTGTCCATGGTGTTAAAAGAATATCTGGCCCACTCAAGACTCTCCACTTAAAACAGAAACCTTTTAAGATACCTCTGGCACTGGCCCATTTCTCTATTACTCGGTTTCTTGTGGTTTCAGCTTGAGGTTTTGTTGCATTGCATTTGACCTGGAGTTTATTTTTAGTATGAAGACGGAGTTCAGTTCATGTCATTAGATGAGAGCAAATGCAGAGGAGGGACTGGTTAGTCTAGAGGAAAAAGTGCCTAATTGTTTTCTGATAGCATTTGACACTGAGTGTACACCGTCACGCCTGCAGACCTGGAGCTTCCTCAGTGGTGCCTGTCATGGGCTGTGCAGAGGTGGGGAGCAGCAGTGGCACCCTGAAAACCAAAGCATTTCTGAGACTCTTCAGTCCAGCTTACCCAGCAGCTGGCCACACAGATGAACCACTACCACAGTTAGCACTGTAGATGAGAATTGTAATTATCGTTCGAGGAGAAGTCAGGCTTTGGAATATTCAGTTCTTATTTCATGCCCAAAAGCAGCATCTGATTTTCATGACCCTCAGCTCTGACCTCCTGGATTGTAGATTTTGTGGGCAACCTCTGGGTCTCACTCTCCCTCTGGTCCCAGCTTTTGCATCATGAGAAGTGCATAGGATGTGGTTGGGGAATGTTTTCTTAGGTCGCCTGATTCTCAGGACACAGTGTGGGCTGCAAAGTCAAAGCGATGCAGAAGGGGCTCCTCCTTCAAGGACTCCCCAGTCTGCTCTGAAAAACAAAGTTACTGCTGCCCTCTGCTTGGGACTTTGCAGTTTCTAAAGCCCTTTCTCATCCTTCTTCCTTTCTCTTAACTGCACACGTGATTACTGAGAACCTGCAGCATGCTGGAATAAAGGAGAGAACTATTGTTCTAACTCCAGAGGGAGTCCCAGGGAGGAAAGCCATCTTTGGGGTTTCCTGAGTTTCACAGATGAAAGAGTTGGAGATTTGAAGAGATTGCATTGCCAGAGACCCCCTGCTTTTCAGCCATGCCTCCCAAATGAGAATGTGGATCTTCTGAATTGAGGCCCTTAAACTGGCCTGCCCCTGCCCTGCAGGCCTGTCACCCACACCCTCTTCGCTTCTTACCTCCTTGCCACCTGGCTCTCCTTTCTCTCCCTCTCCTCTTCCGTTCTCTCCTTCCTTCTTTTCCATCTCTTTTTCTTCTGGAGATGAGGATCTTTGTCTCTAAATGCCATTTTACTTTATCTATTTTATTTTTTGAGAGCTTTTTACTATAGGGCATGTGTGCTTGCCAGAGAGACAGAAACAGAAAGTGAGTAATCACTCCCTGGGGGAATGGCTATGCCATAATCCCTTCTCCTCTATTCTCTTGGTATTTGGGGTGGGCACACATGTACATGCGCCTGGCACGAGTTTTTTAAGCTACTGGATCTGGGACTTGAACTGCGGTCAACTACCTGGGAGTCCTGCAACATAACCATTACATCATCTGCGCATCCCTCTAAACATCATTTGTGGGAAGGGAATTGTGCGGCGCTGTGCTTGGAGTAAGGTCTTGCCCTGCTTAGGATTGTATTTTATAAAGCTCTTTCTCATCCAGGCATATGAGTCAGGGTTATCCAGAGAAATCAAACCAGTGGAAGACAAAGGTCTATGTAGATACCTAAATCTAGACATCAGCAATTGGTATAATGGCTATGTTGCTGGACTCCCATGAAGTCGATCGCTGTTCAAGTCCCAGACCCGGTGGCTTAAACTCACGCCAGGCGTGTGTGTGTGCGTGCCCAAGATCCTGAAAGGAGAATGGAGGAGAAAAGATTGCAGCAGGGCCATGCCCATCCCGACAGGGGTTATTTCTCGCTTTCTGTCTCTCTGTCTCTCTGTCTTTTCTGGCGAGTTCACGTACCCCATAGCAAATCCCCCCCCCAAAAAAAAGTCTCAATCTATATCCATATTGAGAGAGATTTTGAATCATGATATATTAGCTGACACAAGCTGGAGATCCAGGAGAGCTGGTAGT